GGTTTAGGGTTTAGGATTTATGGAGGTTTAGGGTTTGGGGTTTAGGGCGAAGGGTTTAGGATTTATGGTTTAAAGGATAGGTCTCGCAGTGGTCCCTTCTTCCCTTTTTTGCGGGGCTCTAAAGGTGCCTTCTAAGCCCGCCAATACCGAAAGGGTTGAGGGCTTAGGGCCCCGAAATCCTAAACCCTAAGCCCTAAACCCTTTTCCGAGGGTTACTGGGAATCCAGGCCTCGCCATTGAGGGCTGAGCCAGTCTCTGCGGCTGCGGCAGCAGCTGCTGCGAAGGCCTCCAGCAGGTCTATATTTAGGGTGTATTATCTTGTCTTTCATTTTTATGATATATGGTTTAGCGTGCAGGGTGTCGGTTACGGAGGATCCTTTTTGAAATATGCAGATATGGCGAACTTTTGTCCGGCGGTAACGGGCCGTCCCGGGGTTTTCAATCCTGTTCGGGGTTTAGGATTTGGGCTGTAGGCTGAAACAAATGCCTCCTGAATATTGCTCTGGACTCTGGCGCCCCAAAATGACGCTGCCTCACCGGCATTTTTTTTAACAGCAAATGACACTGCGCCCTGTCCTTTTTGCGGCCAGAACTACATTCCGTATGTGGCTTAGTTGCGAGGATCGGACATGATTCCAACCTGTTATGTTGTATTATGTTATTTCATATTTACCATTTAAGTCTGAAAGGTAACTTTCGAGCTTTCGGTTATGTTTCGGGACGACGCCCGAGCCGCAACTCAGTTGGCATCATCGTGCAACCGTGGGATTTCGTTGGGAAATGTGTGCCAACTGTTGAACTGGAGACAGCGAGAGAGGGAGAGAGAGGGAGGGAGAGAGAGAGAGAGAGAGAGACAGACAGGCAGACCGACAGACAGACAGACGGACGGACGGACGGACGGACAGACAGGCAGACAGAGAGAGAGAGACAGAGACAGAGAGAGGGACAGAGACAGAGACAGAGACAGAGAGAGAGAGAGAGAGACTGCGGAACCACCTTCTGGAAGGCTGCGGCAGCTGCGAAGGGTGCCACCGCAACCACGTCGGCTGTGGCCGGCACAGCAGGTGCGGGCTCCTTGTCGAAAGGTGAGGGCGTGGTTGGCAAGAAGGGCCCCAGCCCGACTTTCGACCCCTCCACGCAACTGGGATCTGATCAAAGAGTTTCTGTTTTGGACACAAGCTGCAGTAGCAGTAGCAGTAGCAATAGCAGTAGCAGTAGCAGTAGCAGTAGCAGTAGGAGCAGGAGCAGGAGCAGGAGCAGGAGTAGGAGGAGTAGGAGGAGTAGTAGTAGTAGTAGTAGTAGTAGTAGGAGTAGTAGGAGTAGTAGGAGCAGCAGCAGCAGGAGAAAGAGGAGGAGGAGGAGGAGGAAAAGGAGGAGGAGGAGTAGTAGTAGTAGTAGTAGTAGTACTAGTGTGCAGAAGCAGCAGCAGTTGTTTTATCCAAATCCAGGCAGATCGGTGCCATGGACCCGCTTGGCTTCTTTGATCCGGCTGGGTTCAGCAAGAAGGGCGACGAGGACGGCTTCCGCACCTTGCGTGCTGCCGAGATCAAGCACGGCCGTGCCTGAGC